GGGGGGGTCTTCCCCTTCTCCCGGTACAGGGAGCTCCGCGGCGCTGGGCGGGCGCCAAAGACGACGCTCGGGGCTCGGTCAGAACCGTCTGGCGCGCCCGATCCGATGGTAGCGCAGCGGCTGCGCGCAGCTTCGCTCCAGTGGCGGCCTTCCAAGCCGTGGCCTTTCCCCTCCCAAGGCGATGCAGGACTGGGGCCACTCCGGCAGCAGCGACTCCCAACAGCCCCAGCCGGGAAGGGAAAGGCAAAAGGCGCTTTGCCTTTCCCTTCCCGAGGCGGCGGGACTGGGGCCGCGCCAGCGGCAGCGAGTCCCAACAGCCCCAGCCGGGAAGGGAAAGGCAAAAAGCGCTTTGCCTTTCCCTTCCCGAGGCGGCGGGACTGGGGCCGCGCCGGCGGCAGCGACTCCCAACAGCCCCAGCTGGGAAGGGAAAGGCAGGCGGCGGCGACTCCCAACAGCCCCAGCCGGGAAGGGAAAGGCAGGCGGCAGCGACTCCCAACAGCCCCAGCCGGGAAGGGAAAGGCAAAAAGCGCTTTGCCTTTCCCTTCCCGAGGCGGCAGGACTGGGGCCGCTCCGGCGGCAGCGACTCCACACCATTTTTTTTTCAGAGGGGAATCTGACTCGAGTATAAGCCGAGGGGGATTTTTTCAGCACAAAAAATAGGCTGAAAAACTCGGCTTATACTCGAGTATATACGGTAATCTGCCAAATCAAATACTTCAAATGAACCCCAAAACCTCAGAACCCCAAAGAGAATTATAGCCATCTTCTATAAAGGAGGGCAAAATAATTTTTGTACAAAAGATCCTGTTTGCATGGAGTAAAGGTTTTAAGAATGCTAAATAGCATCTAGGTAGTGGTGACATGCATTCATTCATTTTCAAACCATAGTCCCCATTATCAGCAAACACCATTTCAAAATAACAAAATGGAAATTAAAACTAAGAATTAGGGGTCTCAACTAATCTTTTATCCCTAAGTTTTATATTTTTTATTTATATATAAATATTTTGAAAACTTATTCTCCAGGCACTTAATTTTACTGAGAAACAATAGATATATTAGTAGTAATAATAATATACATAATATAGCAATAATTATAGTTATATTAGCTTATTTGTAATCATATTTATACTAGCATGCTTATAGCCATAAATAACATTCATGTTTTACATACACATAACAATAAACTTTCTTCTTCTAACTTCTACCTCTTATATCTAATCACTGGTAAAACCTATCCCATGTTGAATAATGCTATGTATCTTCTTTATCTTTCATTTTTAATATCAATCTGTCTGTCTCTGCACATTCCAATGTTTTCCAGATTATGTTTTTGTCTGGTGGGTTGTTCTCACCTTGGTTTTTTAATTCCTGTCTGGTTTTGAGTTCCCCTTCCCTGTTTAAGATGTCTTTATAGGGTACAATTTTTTCCAAGTTGACAATATTTGTATGTATCAAGTTTTCCATTGTAGAAAGCCAGACTGCTATTTTCCTACTTTTTTATTTAACTTTTTCCCATACTAAAAATAAAGCATTTCTCACATAGTGTCTTTGAAAGTATCTATGTACTTTATTCCTTCCATACCACAGAAAGGCATGCCACCCTAATTGAAGATTGTTGCCCTCCAATAATAATAATCTTTTATGCCTCAAATGTATCCATTCTTTCACCCATGTAAATACAGATGCCTGGTAATACAATTCCCAATCCGGTAACCCAAACCCTCCATTGCCTTGACTCCTGTAACATTTTCACTCTTATTCTTGCTTTTTTCCCTTGCCAAATATATTTCAAAATTATTTTATTCAATTCCCCAAAATATTCTTCTCTGGTTTTATCGGTATTGTTTGGAATAAGAAAAGTAGTTTTAGCAATATATTCATTTTTATAGTAGCTATTCTCCCTATCATTGAGAGTTGTAAATTCTTCCATTTCTCTAATTTTATAAATTTTTCACCAAAGTCCATACACTTTAATTGTTGCACCATAAACTGTCAATTTACATTGTCAAAAGCTTTCTGAGCATCTAAAAAGATCAATGCCAATTGTTTTTCAAAGTGTACTTCATAATACTCTAACATATCTAAAATAATTATCACATTATTTTTAATTTGCTTTTTAGGTAGAAACCCATTTTGATCAGAGTGTATAAACTCATTCAAGAATCTCTTAAGTTTTTCAGCTATTATTGAAGCAAATATTTGCTAATCTTGAGACTGAAACTTGTAACCAGTGAAAAATATATTTGGACCTGGCAAAGATATCTTGGTGGAAAAGTTATTTTTGTATGCTCTTTCATGTAATATCATGTCATTTCATGTCATGTAATATAATATAATTTCATGTTAGTATGAAACTAGCAGAAAGATTTATACTTGAAACTATTTGGAGGAAGGGTGTTTTGAGTCTGCAGTGCCGAATACAGATGGCCTTAGCCAGTTCTGCAATCGTCTTTCCTGAAACCCATCACTTTGTTCTTTATTGGCTAATTAAAAGCATTATTAAAATGGGGATGTGATATATAAGAATGAATCTCCTCACACACTATTTTCTTAGCATAATTGGACTACATCTAGTCTTCTAAACAAGTTAATGAAATAACCTGAGATTATCGTTGGATGTTTGAGGGATCATATACATATAAAGGAATATCTTACAGATCCAGAGAAGCTTTATTACATAAAAATGTCCTTAGGTAAGTGATGTTGTGGCCCAAACTTTGCTAACCTTAAAGCATCCAGATTATTTTGAAGCGACCACAAAATTTTACTAGGCATGCAAAAAATACACTGGCTACCAACAAACCATTGGCAACTTGTTGCAGCCCTGAGCAAAAGGAAAACTAGAGCTTATTTATCTCCTTAGGCCTACTACAATGCAATCCTTGGCCTACTATACTGCAAAGGCAAGACAAAGGAAAAAGCAAAGCCAGTATAAATTATAGGTTCTCACTAGAATGTTTTTGACAAACCCATTTGAGTGACCTTATTATTTACCCCTTCCTAGTAGGTCAGAGAATATAAATAACTTGGTTTACTAGGCCACTGGTCATTAACTGATTCTTCTCCTTTTTGCCACTGAATGTCAGTTTAGCATGTTCCAACTATTTTTTAGAAGGGCCCTTTAAGCAGTTCACAAGTGGGGTACAGGTCACAACATCTCAGATTTTGTAGTGAATGCAATTCACAAGTGTATGAGTAGTGGTACCTTTTATTACTATATTGTGTATATTTACTTACTTCAGTTTAAACAGCCACCCATCTCAAGTATATGACTCTGGGCAGAATACATGACTGTAGATGGATAAATAATTTATTTAATTTATTATTTATTTGTTGAATTTATATTGCCATCTATACACCCATGGTGACTTGAGACGGCTTACAGAATATAAAACCATATTTAAAATAAAAAACAATAAAAACTATTTAAAAGAATCAAATAAATTAATAAAGGACAATGGCTGAAGAACAAAATCTGAAAAAAAAAAATCACCCCCAACTCCTACCCCCGCCCCGACGACAGCAGATCACATGAGCCATATGATGGGCTCCATCCCATTCTGGGTTCCCAGGCCCACTGGCAGAACCAGATCTTCAGTACCTTCTGGAAGAGTATTAGTGAGAGGGCCATTCTAATCTCTGGGGGAATGATGTTCCAGAGAGAGGGAGCCACCATGGAGAAGACCCTTCTTCTGGGTCCCAACAGATGTATCTCCCTCAGGGATGGGACCCGCAGCATTCCCTGCCTCCCTGCTCTAATGGTAGATGTGACCAGCAAGAGACTTTCCCTCAGATAACCTGATCCCAAGCCATGAAGGGCTTTAAAGGTGACAACCAGCACCTTGAATTGCACCTGGAAGCAAATCAGCAACCAATGTAGCTCCCACAGGAGAGGTGAAACAGGTACACACCGGGGTCTGCACAAAACCATGCAGGCCGCTGCATTTTGCACCAACTGAAGCTTCCAGATGTTCTTCAAGGGCAGCCCCATGTTGAGTGCGTTGTAATAATCAAGATGAAAAATGACTAGGGCATGAGTAACTGTGAGTAGGGACCACTGGTA